GACATCTAACTCTAACTTCAAATCTTTGAAAAGTGTCTGTTTCTGTTCAACACCGACAATACTTTATGCATGTATGTTATGTTATCCCAAAAAAAGATGTGTAAAAGTCCTCAAATTACCAATTATATCTATATATGTAGCAGGATCCCATGCTAAGATTTTCAGAAAACTAGAATTTGAACATTTTCATAATTTTTATATAAATCCTGAATTGCAAAATCATTAACAACCCTACTCACTGTCACTCAGGTATAAATACGTTTTAATTAGGCATTTAGTTGGAGGAGTGGGAATAGACATGGTGAGCAGAAAGATAAGGGAAGTTAAAGAAAAAGTCTTCTGAGATCACTGTTTGAGAATTGTAGCAAAATGTGGCATCTTTTAGATTTCATATCTTAATAACCAGCTTGAAGAAAGGTTGGGTGTTTGGATGTGATGCAATGAATTGCATTTTCTTCCCAGCATTAGGGAAGGTAAATGTTTTACAGTGCTTTGAATAAATCAGACTAAAACTTGGCATCATGTTTTTTTCTCACGCTCTTTACATTTGACCACTGCTGCACTTTATGAAATGGAAATGTTCCTTTTCACTGCTTAGCTGCTGCTTGACTGAACGCTGTATTAACAAAAGTTCATTTTGTATACAGACAATAAAAGTTGTCTACGTCTAACTGAGCCATTCAACACCAACTTTTAGGTTTCATCTGTTGTGAAGCAAAGAATGAATTAGTGGAAAAGTACCTTTCGACAGATAAGACTAATGTCTGCTGATGAAGTTTCTCAGTCATCCAGGTCATAGTCATTACAAAAAAATTTTTTTTTAAATCCACTGGACTTTGTTTCCAAGTTTTAAGATGTTTCGCTTCCCATCCAGGAACCTTTTTCAAGTCAAAGTGATTTTTTCAATTTACTTTGAATTGAAAAAGCTGGAGAGAACAGAGGATTCAGAAGGTGATTTTTAAAGAGCTAAATGGACTAGAAGATCGCACATAGAGATTGTGTGCAGAGGATTTGTCAGTATTCTCCCTAAGACACCTAGAACCCTTGTGGACTACTATAGTACAGGAGATAAGAAAGTGCTGTCCTGTCTTAGTAATAGGTGTGCATTATCTATCTATCTATCTATCTATCTATCTATCTATCTATCTATCTATCTATCTATCTATCTATCTATCTATCTCTATATCTCATTTTAATCTAAAAGGTTTTTTTTTGTGTGTCAGATAATGTCACTGCAATAAAAGACATATTTATGCAAAACCTAATTTTAAATCGTTAGAAGTGGTTCCACTTCTTGTAAAAGGTGCTGTAGATGAAATTCTAAGATAAAGAGAAACTAATGGGCATGATCTCTGTGAAATCCAACAGTACGATCTGTCTATGTTTGTCTTTTTGTTATTTAATAACATCCCTTCCTTCCCTCTCTCTAACACTTTACTGGTTTCATGGATTAGCTTTCAAATTTCCAGCTTTCAATGTGTTTTGCTTGCTAATACTGATGTAACAAAGATGATGGCGTTCACTTAATTCTGTGCTCTGACACTGTGATCATAGCGTTCAAATAAAGTTCAGTTCGATTCCAACCTAAAGTTATCAGTTATATACTTCATATACTTTGCAAATCCCCCTCCTGAAAAGCTGCAGTAAGAAATTATTGATGAACTGAGTGATCAGCATTAACGCAGGCGGTAGCTGCGTACTTGGTTATCAGATCAGAAGTACTTTAATAATCCCAGGGGGAAATTACAGATGTGACTGTTATAAACACATGCAGGCTAACTAAAACAATGCATTTTACTGATTTTGCTCTTCTTTCTTTTTTATTTTTTTGTTGCGGCTGCATGAAAACAGGTGGTAAGTTCAAACTAAAAATATATTGATAAGCATTTGTTCTTAAACCTCATTATATGGTTCAATTTTTAATGTAAAATTCATCCAAAAACAGTTGCAGGTGGAGTTCAACAGCCAAGTGGTAGGTGCTTTTTTTTTATTATTATTATCATCATCATTAATCAGTTAGCAGCAGCAGTAGTAGTTTATTTGACTGATTTCATACACGTTTTTAAGCCTTTTTTTACTTTTGCTTAAACATTTTATTTGATAAATGTATTTCTGTTACATAGAAAATGTGAGTAACAGCAACTTCTGGTGGTTAGAGAAGTTATTTTATGTTTCTTGGATTAGTATTTTTGATGCACAATATATTAA